CACAAAAAATTGCGCAAGATCTGATAGAACTTGCTGATTTTGCCTGCCAGAGAACCCGCAGCAGCGTCCTTGTCTTGGGAATTCATGATCGCGACGAACATAGAGAAAGAGCGAGCGTAACGAACGATATCGTCAAAGCAAGAGCAGAAAGAAAATCTCCCAGATTCAAACAAAAATCTGAGTGGAAATATCGAACTGTCAGCAGTTTCACGTCAGGCAGACGCTATTTCAAATTAGATAAAATTCACCTCAACATGGACGGTTTCAACAACGTCAAAAATCAAGTCAAAGAAAAATTTTTGTATTCGAAAAACAAAAAATAATTGAACGACGCAGGAAACACGAAAGTTGTCAACTGCAAAACAAGCAACTGCGACTGTAGCCATTTGTATCAACCTTCAATAGAAGAGTTAATATTTTTTAGTATTCTTAGGCACCACCGGTCATTCAGTACTAAAACAAGTACCGAATTTTTTACCAAAGGTACCCTTAGGTACTACCGGTGAGAACTTGTGTCCCTGTCCTATTTCTTCCAAAGGTGCCCTTAGGCACCACCGGTTGAAATGATAAAAAACAACACCATAATGATGGAAAATACATGCAAAACTTGCAATAGCAAAATAAATGCAAGAGAGCAATCTTTTGATTGCATATCATGTGGATGTAGAATGCATCTGACAGCAAAGTGCACCAAACTTCGTAACAATGCATTGTCGGGTATAAACAAAATGGGCATGAACATACTTTTACTGCGTAACACGTGCGTTTCGGCAAACCAACAAGAAAAGATAAAGTCACTAATGGCAAAACCAGACCCAGTAAAGAAGGCAAAAAAATAGGAAATGAGATGGAAGAACTTAAGGAGACAGTCTCGGAAATTAAAAACATACTATCAAAACCAGCAAAACAACCAGATATGAAACCAAATCAACAAGAATCAAACTTAACCACATCGGACTAAAACAAAAAACAATAATCAGACAATAGAAATAAGGATAAAAGGAGTAAAAGAGAGCAATGACAAGGATCCTAGAAAGCGCCAACAACACGACTTCTGTGAAGTACAGAAAATCCTGACTAATATGGAGCTTGAATGTAAATTTAACGACTCGATTCGACTAGGCCAAAGAGGTAGTGATCGTGACAGAACGATACTTCTTAAACTGCCAAAAATACTTTAAAATTATTCGAAAAACAGATACAATTCCAGGTGAAGTCTACCTGGATGATCAAAGAGCTACATCAAATATCGATAAAACCAATTTGTTTAATAAATACTTTCAGTCAGTTTTTAGCCACTCCCTCTCTGTAGGCGCTTGGAGCTTGAATGGAGCTTGAATGCAAATTTAACGACTCAATTAGACTAGGTCAAAGAGGTAATGATCGTGACAGAACGATACTTCTTAAACTGCCAAAGGTATGGCTGAAACGGTTGATCTTATCATCAGCACAAAAACTGAAAAACTATGGAGTTTCACTAATCATAAGCAAGGAACTAACAAACGAAGAAGCCGCGATATAAAAAGATTCTTGAAAGATAAGAAGAGATCTTATAGATCAGGGATAAAATAAGAAAGACTTTAGTGTAAGGGATGTCAAGCTATACAAAAAAGATGGAAACCAATGGATAGTGATATCGCCTATATCGGAAACGACAGAAAACTACTAAATAAGACAAAAAGCTAATCTAATACTAATAATATCAGAAGCATCTTAGAATATTCTAGAAGAAGTCTCTTCTCGAGTGCCATCCGATCTAAAAACATCTGCGATATCATTTGTCTAACAGAGACATGGTTAACTGAAATTGTGACGAAAAGAGCGATATTTCTTGAGAAATTTAACATCCATAGGAATGACAGGCAAAGCATTAACGGCAAATCAAAACACGGAGGTGTTGTAAACGGGATAAACCACGAAATAACTCACTACTGCATACACTCAGCTTTCAATGACTGTCTAATAGTCAAGCTCTTGATCAAAAACCCCGTCATTATAGCTTTCATATACTGTGCCCCAAAAAGAAGCGAATACCGCTGGTCGTCAAAAACCCTACTGAGTTTTCTGTATTTTTTTTTGGAAAAACAAATAGAATTAAACGTAAGAAACGTGATGATTACTGGAGACATCAACTTTGCTCAAACGGACTGGTCGACCAAAATCTCCTCTGTCGAAGACGAACAGGCCTTCTTGAACGCTCTTGCAGAACTTAACTTTGAACAAATGATAACGGGAAAAGAAAAAGTACAAGTAGACGTAATACTCTGCAACCACCTAATTTTTTAAACTCTCGTGAAAAAAGACAATAGACTCACATTCTTGTATAAAACGAATAATCCTCCTTACCACGAAAAACTCAACCTAATTTTAAAGAAAAAGAAGTAAATGACCGCAATGGATTCCAGGGATTCTCGTTCTCGAAACCAAACTGGGACGAAATAAATCAATATACCAATGAAAACCCATTTAACCCATACTGCTATAGCAATGTTGATCTAATGACCGGAATGTGGTACACTTGGCTACTTAAAATGATCGAAAAGCAATTCCCAGGAAAACAAAACATCGAAGTTCTCTAAAACATCTAAAAGCTTGGGTAACATCTAAAACATCAAAACTCATCAAAATTATGGATACAATGCGCAGAAAATGTGAAAAAAACGTGGCCGAATGTCAGTTATACAATGTGAAAACATTTGAAAAACACCTAGAGTTAAACTTAAGCGAAGACCAAAGATCATAGGAAGAAAACTTATTTGTTGATGGTAACTTCTCAAAATTGTAAAAGTACTTTAAAAGTATTCGAAAAACAGAAACAATTCCAGGTGAAGTCTACCTGAATGATCAAAGAGCTACATCAAATATCAATAAAACCAATTTGTTTAATAAATAATTTCAGTCAGTTTTTAGCCACTCCCTCTATGTAGGCGAGAATAACCCATCTCATGAATGTAAAATAGCGAATCTCCATTTTATCACCACGGAAATTGAAAAAATTCTTGAAAACATGGATACCAACAAAGCCAAAGAACCTGATAACCTAGGAAACATTCTTTGGAAAAAACTCAGCTGTTCTATCTCTCAATCTCTATATCTACTTCTTAACACAATTGCTTATGAATTTGTTTTTCCGTCAAAATGGAAAACAAGCGAAATTGTTCTTATCTTCAAAGAGGGAGACAAACAACATGTCTCAAACAAGCAACCAAAAAGTCTGCTAACGGTTATCTCAAAGGTGTTAGAAAAAGTAATTTTCGATAAAATGATTTCATCAGTAAAATTTAGCATCTCAAACTCACAACATGGCTTCCGACAAAAACGATCTACTGTTACAATTCTCATTGAGTATCTCCATGAGGTATATACTTACTATGACAATATCGAAACAAAATACCTGGCTTGCCTCTACCTAGTTTTCCAAAACGCATTCGACGAGGTGAACCACGCAAAGATAATTGAAAAATCAAGGAGCTTTGGGTTCACAGGACAATGTTTAAGGCTACTAAAAAATTATCTAACAGATAGAAAACAAACCGTTCACATTGGACACGCGGTATCCGAGCCATTTTCAGTACACAGTGGTGTGCCTCAGGGGTCAGTTCTCGGACCTTTGATGTTTATTCTCTATATAAATGACCTACCAGATTGTGCAAAGTCAGCAAGTTTTGGCTACGCAGGCGATTACAAAATTGTTTGCAATGACCCATTAATTTTAAATATCGATGCGAAGAGAAATTGGAATTGGTGTGTGAAGAATTCTATTGCAGTAAATATGTCATAAACAAAAATTTTCAGTGTGAAACGAAATGAAAAAGTTAAAGTAAATGGAACTGTTCTTGAAGAAACAGCAGAAATGAAAAATTTAGGTCTCATAATCACTAGCACATTAAGTTGGACTGAAAAAGCTACAAATAGATCTGCCAAAGCTCCAAAGGCATTATGCTCTGTGAAAAGAAACATCTCCAAAAAAACAACAAAGACCATGTAATTAAAATCATAAAAATCATATGTTGCACTTATAGTAGGTTATGGCTCATCATCATGGAAACCCTCAAAAAGAAAACTCAAAATAATTGAATGTGAACAAAAGAAAGCAACAGCATGGATATTGAGTCCAACTCAAGAATACAAAGATCGATTGATTTCCCTTCATATCCTTCCCCTGTCACTTTATCATGAACTACACATTCCACTGCTACTGTACAAAATCCTAACTGAAAAAACTGGCCTACCATTGAAAAAATTCATATTGTTAAGGAAAAAGATATGCGAGTATGAAAAAAAATCAAAAAAAAAAAATTTCGACTGCAAAAATTAGAGTCTGCTTTTTTCCTGAGAGCCTGCAATATTACGAACGCCTTGAATGAACACCTCAAATTCGATATCATGGAGCACGAAAACATAAAAGAAATAATAAAGAAAGTTTTCTGGAGATATTTTAAAGAGAAATTCAACGTAAGCGATCCATGCCCCTGGAGAATTGACTGCCGATGCATGAACTGTAAAAACATTAGAAAACTAAACTTTTAAAAATTTAGATCTGACGAAAACTGAAAGGGAGCTAACTCCCTTGGATTCAATTTTCCTATATTCTTGTTTATTTTGATTATTTTTTTGTCCTTTATGTGCCAATTACAAGCTTCTGGGAAAAGTCAGGGATGCGCCTTGCCTGGAATCGGGGCATCCACCTGAAACAAAGACAGCGAAGGCAACGGTGAAGTTCTTACGTAGAAAGTTGGGGGAATGGTTGGCCAATGAATCAAGGAGTTTAATTTAAATAGGAGAGTTAAAAAAACGAAAAATTGATGGGTTGGAACGGTACAACTTGTGGTGTTGTTGAAGGGTAGTTCCACCTGCTCACTCCTTCTTGCGTCTAGATTCGCTAGGGAAGCTTCACTCGCCTACGGATGGGACGGTTAGGTTTGGTTAGATAATCAGAAGAGGAAAGCCCAGCGCGCATATGATATGAAATCACACAAGCGGTAAATTTGAACAAAGGATATTTAATAAGTTTATCACAACAACAATAATTAGGCTAATCAATCGTAAACTGTGGTCCTCGATCAGAGTGACACTCTCCGGCAATCCGTATCTTGCAAAAACTTGTGTGACAACACATCAATGATTGCCGCAGAAGATGCTGAATCCAAAAGAAAGGCTTCTAAATAACCTCTTTATTCATCAGGAAGAGTGAATTTCCTTTTCACTGCCCCAGACGACGTTGGCTTCGGATCAATAAAGTCAAGTGACAGTCTATGTATCGTTTAATCTTCAAGTGTTTGAAAACGAGGCTTTGGCTTGCAGCATATGCCACAATTGTTGACGTGTCTCTCGAAATCCAATTTCTGATTGATCCAGAATCATCCTTCCCTGACCAGTGCTAGAGTAGCCTGTATGATCAGATGATCAAAACTGTTGTGCGCTCGGGACGTATCAGATCGATGGAAGGAAGGAAATTGGGCAAACTATCCGGGTGACACCCCCAGTTTCAATTAAACACAAAATTTCATGCAGCAACTTAAACCGTTTGCTTTTACTCAACAGCTCAAGCGAAACCTCGGCAGACCTAACCATGGCATCGAGGTTGATTTTCAATGCCGACTACTCGGGATCCTCGCTTTGTGCCGAATGCAACCCCTCCACCGTAAATTAGGACTTCAGAGTCTGCAAAGCTAACGCTCTCGAAAATGCATCGGCCGCCATATTGTCTACTGACTTCGCGTAGAAAAAGAAGAAAGAATTAGTTCCCTTAAATAATAAATTAAGGCAAAATAAAAACAAAAATATCAAGTCAAGATCGACAGTTTGAGCAGGTGCACTTCAAGAACCATGAACACGAGTTAAGTTGATCAAAAGTTGACACAGTTCTCTCTTAAAGAAGTTCCTTGACTCTTCTCTTGAAAGACTCGAGGGGAGCGAAGATGTATACACCAAGACGGATCAACTCGTTGACCGATTTCTCAACGCGATGAAAGAAGAACTTCTCATTCTGCCACTTCTTTGCTGTTTGAATTGTGCAGAGGATGGTGGATTTCCGGCTGGTGGTCACCGTAAAAAAGAAATACGCAGAAAACGGCAATTCTGTAAGACCATGTAGCATTTTGTAGAACAGTAACCCATCGTTGAAAATAAGATGGCAACAAATAGGCAGAGTTTATAGTGTTTATAGAGTTTATAAATGACTGGTCTTTATAGGGTATTGAACCAATAACCCATTTCAGACACTTTCCATTGAAACTTTCAAGTTTTCGGATATAACATAATGAAGGAAACCCAACTTCATAAAAATGATACCCTTTATATACATGTTAGCAAACATGAGCTTAGTGGATTGAGAGACAGTGAAAGGAAAAATGCGCCTGATAGAATGAAGTGAGTTGTTACATGATAACAGCTTATTGTTGATATGTATCATCCAGTTCAAGTCATCAGAGACAAGTAAACCAAGGTCTTTTACTACATTTGAGGCAGTTATGTCCTTGTCGTTAACCATTACATGACGAGAAAAGTTGCCTTTAAAAGCAATGAGATTGCACTTATCGTGATTGACCGATAAACCATGATTTGCAGTACACCAGATTGTAAAAAAATCAATATCATGCTGTAGAGAAGTATTATCAGTAGCAATTAACTTTGAATCGTCAGCGAGCAAATAACAACTGGAAAATTCTATACACTCTGGAAGATCATTGATGAAAAGAAGAAAAAGAAGCGGCCCCAAGACGCTGCTTAGAGGAACGCCACTAGTAACAGGACGTGGATTGAAAATGTGCGCATTTATACAAACCCATACTGTGATCGGTTAGAGAGATACGACGAAAAAAGTAACAAGAAATCATGATCGAAACCATACATTGATAGCTTGTTTAGAATGATATCATGACGAACAGAATCAAAGGCTTTACTAACGTCAAAATAAAATAAACAGCAGCAGAAGGAATGTTGAAATCACTAGTGTGGTATACTTCGTCAAGAAACGATAACAGCTGCGTTACAGTTGATCACTGATTTCTGAAAACATGCTGAGGGTTTGACAAAGGTTTTCCAATCTTTGGATATATATGATTGAAGAGAACTTTCTCAAAACATAAACAAAGGGGTGTAAGATACTGAAAGGTCTGTAGTTTGTAATATCATTAGGAGACCCAGAATTCAGAATTGTAGTAACAAAAGCACATTTCCAGGCAACAGGCCAGACGAAAGTGTTTATAATAAGGTAAAAAAGAAAACTACAAGAGGAGATAGTAACGAGGTACAACAGTTATAAATAAAAGCAGGAATACAGTCAACAGATCAGGTGTTTTTAACGGATTGTAAACATGAACTGACAACCGACGGAGACACGTCGATAATTTGATATCAGAATCAGGAGAAACAGTCGGTACAGTATAGTCAGACACAGGCGTCCGGCAAACAGAAGCAAAATATTCGCTGAAAAGTTCACTGATAAACCCGTCACAGACAGCTTGCTTACGGCCCCCATGAAGGTTTTTTGAAATGATTGGGGACTTCTTAAACTGTTTCAAGAGTTTAAAAACACAAGAAGGAGAGGAAAGAGAAAAGTTCTGAAAAAGCAATTCTTTATCCAAAATAACTGAGTTGGTGAAATCACTCTCTAACCGAGTCATATAAGACAGTTTGAATTTTTTTTCCGTCGCAGAGCTCTGGGTTTATTGGCTAAAAGAATAGAGTGAGAAGAGTAGTAATAAGGAAAATCGAGTCTTCTTTTACTCTTTTTAGGGCATGAATCATCAAGTGTGGCTTTAATAGAAACATCAAAAATGGAGAGGAAATCACATTGAGAATTTAAATACAAATTAGTGTAAAGCGGTTCTAACAAACAACAAAAATGTTCTGTGTTGAAACTCTTCTTTGAATACAATTGCTTTGAGACATCAGGTGTAAAACAATCATCACTTGAGACATGCAAATGAGCGAAAATTGGACAACGGTCTGAGTAGGTTTTCTCTGAACGATAGGCAACAAATCTCTGCGGGTCATTCGACCAGAAAAGATCTAGAGTATTACCAGACAAAATAGTCGGAAAATTCAACAATTGAAACATATTGAGATCATCAAACCCCTTCAAAATGTTCATGGAACAATCAGAGGATGCAAAGTATGAGCTCCAACAGACGTCAGCTAAATTGAAGTCAGCTAGAACAGCAAACACAGTTTGGCCTGACAGGCAGCGACCGATGTGTTTGAGCACCTCATCATGATGGTTTTGAACAGCGTTTATAAGTGTAGATGACTCAACGCGATTGTCGGAACTGAGAGGGGGATTATAAACAACCATCAAACCAAAAAACGTCTGATTGACTTTGATGACAACTGAAAAACTGAAGTCACGAAAACTGTAGGAGTGAAGGAGATTCAAAGAATAACCTTAACGGCATGCAATAAGAACACCAACGTATACACTGTTTAATCTGTCACAGCGAGAAACTACAATGAAATCTTTAAATGGGAAAATTTCAAGGCAAGTAACATCATTATAGAGCCATGTCTCAGTAAAAAATAGTATGTCGACAGAGATGGAAGGAAGAAAATTAGAAAACTTGATACGCTGGGAGATATTGATAAGACTTTGAACATTATTTAGGCACAACTTTAACTCTGACAGTCATTCAGGAGCGGTCACTTCCACATCATTATGAAGTAACTTCAGATTACGTATTTTCAGTTCTTTTTTCGGAATGTTGTCTCTCGGTGATATATCAAATCTCAGTTTGAGGAGGTTATGCATTGTGATCTGCTCTGAGGGAGACAACGATTTCGAAATATAAACAGGAGAACAATAAGTTTTCAGCTTGTAAGTCTTTAGTGTAAGGGATATCAAGCTATACAAAAGAGATGGAAATCAATGGATAGTGATATCGCCTATATCGGAAAGGACAGACAACAATTAAATAAGACAAAAAGCTAATCTACTACTCTATAATATCAGAAGCATCCTAGAATATTCTAGAAGAAGTCTCTTCGTGAATGCCATCCAATCTAAAAACATCTGCGATATCATTTGTCTAACAGAGGCATGATTAACTGAAAATGTGACGACAGGAGCATTATTTCTTGACAAATTTAACATCCATAGGAATGACAGGCAAAGTGTTAACGGCAAATCAAAACACGGAGGTATTATAACTGGGATAACCCACGAAATACCTCAATACTGCATACACTCAACTTTCAATGACTGTCTAATAGTCAAGCTCTTGATCAAAAACCCCATCATTATAGCTTGCATATACTGTGCCCCAAAAAGAAGCGAATACCGCTGGTCGTCAAAAACCCTATTGAGTTTTCTGTATCTTTTAAGGAAAAACAAATAGAATTAAACGTAAGAAACGTGATGATTACTGGAGACATCAACTTTGCTCAAACGGACTGGTCAGCCCTAATCTCCTCTGTCAAAGACGAACAGGGCTTCTTGGACGCTCTTGCAGAACTTAACTTCGAACAAATGATAATGGGAAAAGAAAAAGTACAACTAGACGTAATACTCTGCAACCACCTAGATTTGTTAATTCTCGTGAGAAAAGTCAATAGACTCACATCCTTGTATAAAACGGATCATCCTCCTTACCACGCAAAATTCAACCTAATTTTAGAGAAAAAGAAGTAAATTACCGCAATGGCTTCCAGGGATTCACATTCTCGAAAGCAAACTGGGACGAAATAAATCAATACACCAATGAAAACCCATTTAACCCATACTGCTACAGCAATGTTGATCTAATTAGCGGACTGTGGTATACTTGGCCACTTAAAATGATCGAAAAACAATTCCCAGGAAAACAAAACATCGAAGTTCTCTGGCACCTTGGGTAACATCTAAAACATCAAATCTCATCAAAATCATGGATGCAATGCGCAGAAAATGTGAAAAAAACGTGACCGAATGTCAGTTAGACAAAGTGAAAACATTTGAAAAACAGCTAGAGTTAAACTTACGCCAAGACCAAAGAGCATACGAAGAGAATTTATTTGTTGATGGTAATTTCTCAAAATTGCAAAAAT